TTTCTTATGAAGGTCTTAATTTTACCTTACATTTACTCATGCAATAAATACTAATCTTTACATTTGCGCTAAGAAGAATATTTTTATAGTGAAGTTGTGGCAATTTATAAAATATAATGAAAAGTAAGCTCTGCCTAATAGTCTCTTATTTTTAGTTTGTATTTTATTATTGGATCTTTAGCATCTAAATTTAAGGAACTCTTTTATTTTTCTCCCCAAACCTCATTTTGTTGCTTTGAACACTGGAGGTATGATTCCAGAGGGAAAAACATAAAAGTGGGGAAAAAAATTTGGTAATGCCTGTAATAAAGACATTATTGAAGAGAATAATTCTTATAATTTGTGAAAAGAAAAAAATCTGAGGCAGTGTGGAATATTTTAATTTTTCATGATAGTTTTAGAAGAATTTAAATAGACTAGGAAAACAAGTAGAGTAAGGATAATTTTAAATATTTTTTAGATCGCAGTTACTAAGGCCAAATCCTAATGCAAATGGAAGTAAATCATTTCTGTATTCATCAGAAAATGAGCAGTTCTTTTGGATTTATGTGCAGAAACAAGATGTTATATTTTTGAAAGAGCTTTATTGAGGTAAAATCGACATACATTAAACTGTACATATTTAAAGTATGCAATTTAAGTTTTGACATACATGCATATGAACATAATCATCACCTCCATACAGTTCTCATTCCTCTTTGTATTCTCGCCCTTTGCACATCCCTGTCCACCGCTCCTCCCCCATGTTTCCCTAGGCAACCACTGATACGCTTTGTAATTACAGCTTAGTTTGCAAATCCTAGAATGTTATGTAAATAGAATCATACAGTGTGTACTTTGTCTTGTCTGGCTTTTTTCTCTCACCCCAATTACTTTGAGATCTATGTGTGTTGGGTGTATCAATAGTTAATTATTTTTATTACAGAAAGTATTCTATTGTACCACAGTTTTTTCACCTATTCACCTGTTGATGGACATTAGGGTTGCTTTCCGTTTTGTTTTGTTTTTTAATAATAATAAAACTGCTGAGAACATTCCTGTACAAGTCTTCCTAGGGATGTATGCTTTCATTTCTTGGGCGTAAATACTTAGTAATGGAATGTCTAAATCATAAATTAGGTATATGTTTAATTTTTTAAGAAAATGCCAGACTTCTTTCAAAGTGGTTATTTCATTAGTATAAGATGGACCATAGTCGGTCTTTATAACTTTAGTCATTCTAAAACAGGTGTATAGTAGAATCTCATTGTGGTTTTAATTTGCATTTCCCTAATGATTGGTAATGTTGAGCATACTTTCACGTGCTGATTTGTCATCCTTGTATATTCTTTGTTGATGTGTGCTCAAAGCTTTTGCCCATCAAATTTTTTTTGTTTTCTTTCTAAGTTTTGAGAGTTCTTTATATGACCTAGATACAATTACTTTCTCATATATATGATTTGCAGCTATTTTCTCCTTGTTTGTGGATTATCTTTATTCTCTTAACAGTGCCTTTTAAGTAGTAAAAGCTTTTATTTCTGAAGTCTAATTTGTCAACTTTTTTTAATGGATCAGGCCTTTGATGTCATATCAAAAAAAATTTGCCTAACAAAGATCACAAAGATTTTCTCCTGTGCTTTCCTCTAGAACTTTTATAGTTTAGAATTTATATTTATATCTATAATCCATGAGAATTATTGTATATGGTGTGAAACATAGATTAAAGTTCCATTTCATTGCATATGGATCACCAATGTTTTTCCTGCATCAGTTATTGAAAAGACTATCCTTTCTCTACTGAATTGCATTTGTACCTTTGCTAAAAATTAGTCATCTGTATGTGTGTGGGTCTATTTCTGTACTCCCTCTTCAGTACCATTGATCTATTTATCTCTTTTTATGCCAATATGACACTGTCTTATTTATTGTAGTTTGATAGTAAGTCTTGAAATCAGGTAATGTTAGTCTTCCAACTTTATTTTTCTTTTTTAAAAATTCTTTTGACTATTCTAGATCATTTTTACATCCATATGAATTTTAGAATCAGCTATCAGTTTCTACCAAAAACAAAACAAAACTTGCTAGGTTTGTCATTAGGATTACATGGAAGCTATAGTTCAGTTTGGGGTCAATTGACATCTTTATTGAATCTTTCAACCTATAAATGTGTTACAGATTTCCATTTATTTAGGCTTTATTTCTTTTCCCTCTGCATTATTTGTTAGTTTTCAAGGTACATGTCCTTCACATCTTACGTTAGATTTATCCTTAACTATTTCATATTTTGTGGTGCTATTGTAAATTTTTTAAATTTTAATTTTCAGTTATATGTCACTAGTTTATGAAAATATAGTTTTGTATACTGATCTTGTATCCTACAACTTTATTAAGCTCACGTAATTCTAGTACCTTTTGGTGAGTTTCATAGGATTTTTCTGCATACATGATGATCATATGTTTTTAAATGGTAATGAATAAATGTTTTTATTCTACTATTACATTATAGTTCAAAAGTTTGTATTACTTTTTTTCATTTAAAAAATAATTTTCTAAAATTTTAAGCATATACAAAATAGAATCATAGAATGAACCTCTGTGTACCTGACATTCAGCCTCAATAGTTATCAACACGTAGTCTATTTCTTGTTGTAATATCTTGATGGCCTCATAAATTGATTAGTAAGTGTTCCTTCTTTCAATGGAACTGATATTTCTTGCTTAAATATTTGGTAGAATTTGACCTATAGTTTTCTTTGTTAGAAGGTTTTAACCTCATAGTCTATTTCTTTAGTGGATAGTAATTGTTATCTGTTTCCTTCTGAGTAAATTTTGATAGTTTCTGTCTTTCAAGGAACTGATCCATTTCATCTAAGTTGTTGAATTTATGGGCAAAGAGCTGTTCATAGTAATCCTTTTTCATCCTTTTTATATCTGTGAGGTCTGCAGTGATGACCCCTTTTTCATTTCCGCTTTTGTTAATGTCTTTTCTCACTCTTTTCTTTTCTTTTCTTTTCTTTTCTTTTCTTTTCTTTTCTTTTCTTTTCTTAAGTTTTATTTATTGATCTTAGAGGGAGAGGAAGGAGGGGGGTGGAGAGAGAGAAACATTGATTTGTTGTTCCACTTATTTATGCATTCTTTGGTTGTTTCTTATATATGTCCTAAGCAGAGATTGAACCCACAACTCTGGCGCATTTGGACAACACTCTAACCAACTAAGCTATCCTACCAAGGCTTTTTTTAAAAATTGAATTTATTGGGGTCACTGGCTAGAGGTTTTATTGATTTTTTAAAAATCTTCTGCCCTGGCTGGTGTGGTTCTGTGGATTGAGTGTCGGCCTGTGAACCAAAGGGTCACTGGTTCAATTCCGTCAGGGCACACGCCTGGGTTGCAAGCCAGGTCCCCAGTGGGGGACACACAAGATGCAACTGCACATTGATGTTTCTCTGTCTCTTTTTCTCCCTCCCTTTCTCTAAAAATAAATAAATCTTTTTTTAAAACCTCATGATTATATTGATTTGGTTTTCCACTTTATTGATTTCTGTTTAGTTTTTATTACTTCTAGTCTTTTTGATTTGGTTTGGATTTGCTCTTCTTCTAGTTTCTTAAGGTGAAAGCTCAGATTACAGATTTGATGCCTTTCTTTTTCTCTTAATATAAGCATTTAATAGTATAAATTTCCTTCTGAAGGCAGCGCTGCATCCCACAGTTTGGGGCTTAATAAAAAGAACAGCCTTTGTGGTGATAGAGAAGGGTACTGATACAATATATACCCCTCCACAGAAAGTGTTATTCCATTCCCCAGTTCTGAAACATTAGGGAGACTTTTGTAGGACTCTTGTAATCTTTTCTGTGAGTGCCTGGTAGGATTCCCAAAGATAAAGCTGCAAAAAGTGTGTGTTACCGTACCTTTGCAGCACACCTCATTCGTGCTCTCCCTGCAGGTGGGTGCTCTGCCCTCTCTTACCAGTGCACACTCAATCTCTACCAGTTTATCCACTATACTAGCTGAACACTTCTTACTGATATTCTGCTGTGTCTTGTTGTAGGCCCGTGTGCATGTCTTACTCCTCTCTCTGCAAATGCTCATGTCTCCTTAGTTTGGGGGTGAGCTGATTACCCTCTGGCAGCAGCATTCTAATGGCTTAAAGAAAAATTGGGAACTTGCCATTTGTCTGGCTTTTTTGTTGCTGTAAGGTTGGAAAACCACCCTTTACCGTTCTCTACATCCCCAAGGCTGTAGGTTTATTTTAGAGTTCTGCATTTTAGGTGATTAATAGTGTCAGCCCCCTAAAACAAAGTTATCTCTTGCTCTGATATTTGTACTTAGTATATACTAATATTACTGTACTTATCCTGCAGTGCTGTGGTTACTTGTGAATATATCTGTCCTCTACTATCAGCACACTGCTTGAGACAAGCAAGATCTGTATCTTCTGTATTCCCTGTGCTCCCTGATTGATGGAAGGCATTCCCACATGCTTATGAATATGATTAGAACAATTAGGCTTTATTTTAATTTTCATAGTACGGTATTGGTACATTGTAATATGCTGAGTATTTGTTGATTAATACACAAGTAGAAAGGCTTCTTTTCAGATGGTATTTGTTGTAGAAATTGAGTTCGTCCAAATTTCCAGATAGTTAAAAAAAATGATTCATTGAGGTCTTATTTAACCATTCCAATAATTAAAAATCTTGCTATGATTCAAACAGAATATTTAGTTGCATGAATTAGTCATTAGTTCAGTAAATATTAATGGGGTTGAATCATTTTATACTCCTCTTGACATCTTGGGTAATATTGTTTACCTGAGAACTGAAGAGCAGTGGGTAATAATTACAGCATTGCCTATTTTGGGGGACTGAGGGCTTGTTCTAAAATTCAAATTGAGCTAGTGGCATTGAATGAATAAAATGATATTACCTGGCAGTATTTAGAAAGCTTAAGAGTAATTTTCGTTCTTATGTCTTTTAATGAACAAATAAAAGATTTTTTTCAACCTAACTCCATCTTTTCCAGATCAGATTTTCGCCAGTAGCTAAAAAGTTGTTTGTGGTAACTGCAGTGACTACCATGTCTGTAATTTTTCTGGCCCATCACTTTAAAAGAAGACGTGGAAAGAAGAAAGAAAAAATACTACCATGGGAACCAGAGCACCTCATACTTGAATACACTAAAAGAGCAGCATCAGACAAAGGTATGTAGAAATAGCTGAATTAAGTCTAGAAGGGAAATTTTATATGTAAATCATAACTGGAATACAGTGATTTCAGTAGTTTAGTCTCCAAAATTTCCTTCCTTAATATTTAATTCACAAGTAATGCAGATCAATTTTAGAAAAATTAGAAAATGCAGATAAGCATACAGAAAAAAATTAAAATCACTGAACTTTGTTATCCCAGAAATAACTACTGATAATACTTTGACATATATCTAGCCATTTATATTTCCATTTAAATATCATATTGAGACATACAATTTTATACAGTGGTCTCCTGTATCCATGGTTTTGCTTTCTGCAGTTTTAGTTACTTGCAGTCAAGCAATAGAAAACATTAAATGGAAAGTTCCAGAAATAAACAATTTGTAAGTTTTAAATTGTGTGTCATTCTGAGTACTGTGATTAAATTTCCTTCCATCTTAATTCATCCGGCCTGGGATGTGAATCAGCCCTTTGTCCAGCATATCCACGCTGTATACACTACCCACCTGTTAATTTCTTTGTAGTCATCTCAGTTAACACATTGACTGTCATGGTATCACAGTGCTTGTGTTCAAGTAACTCTTATTTTACTTATTAATGGCCCCAAAAGTACAAGAATAATGATACACTTTGGATATGCCAAAGAGAAACCATAAAGTATTCAATATGTATGTATAGGAAAAAACAGTATATGTAGGGTTGTGGTTTCAGGCCTCCACTGGGTGTCTTGGAATGTATTCCTGGCAGAGAAGGTGGTGGGGGTAGAGGGAGGGGCAGGAGGACGATTGTATTATGTGCAAGAAAATGATTTATATATTTTCATAAGTTCTGGTCATAACCTTTTGGAACATGCTCTTAAAATATTTAACAATATGTAAGAATGTCTTTCTGGGTCGATAAATATATATTCTGTAATTTTTATTTTTATTTATTAATTTTTTATCAAAAACAATTGCTATGTGTTATCATTTTTAATATGTACTTGTTGTTAAATTTGTCCAAATAAATCTTAATTTATTTAACCAGTTCCCTATTTTTCCCTTTAGGATGTTTTCCTTGCTTTGTATATGTTTGCCTGACTATTTCCTTAGTATATAAAGTTCTAGAAATACAATAACTTTAAATGTTATTGTGTTATTAACACATGTAGTTTTTGTTACCAATATAGTACACGTTGTTACATTTTATCAGTTAAATTAATTTTTTGCCCTGGCTGGTGCGGCGTACTGGACTGAGTGCTGGCCTAAGGACCAAAAGGTCGCTATTGTGATTCTCCGTGTCAGGGCTTATGCCTGGGTTGCAGCCCTGGTCCCTCACTGGGGGTGTGAGAGGCAGCTGATCAATGTGTCTCTCCCTCCCTTCCCCTCTCTCTAAAAATAAATAAATAAAATCTAAAATAAAAATAAAAATTTATTTCTTGAGCATGCTAGATTACTTATTTCCTTAATTTTGAAATGATTTTTAAATTTATGATTTAGTGTATCATATGTTTTTGTGATTCATTTGCACAGCAAATAATTTATGAGTGACTATTTTGCGCAAAATACAGCGAACATTACAATAATGACAATGCCTGCTAAAATTTTATTAGATCGCAGGTGCGGTGCTAAATGCTATATAGATTCACTGTTATTTGACCTTGATAGCAATCCTATGAATTAGGACTATAATTAATGTTATTGTTCCCATTTTATACATAAAGAAAATTGAGATATGAAAAAGGTAAGTAACTTGTTCAAGTTCACATAACTAATAAATATGAGCATTTGAATCAAAGAGTGTCTTAGCTGCTGCATTAAGATAAACTAAGACACAATGTCTTAGATGAATGATAGTTAAGGGAGACAGATATATAAAAAAATAATTACAATATAATGCAATATGGATAAGGTTTAGCTATAATTCAGGAAAGGAAGTGCTTATATTGTTAAAGTTATAATTTAAATGTTCATAGTAGTATTTTTATACTAATTACAGTAGACCATCAATACCCTGATTAATTAGATGAATATTTTATTTTTCATTTTCAGAAGATTTTAATAGTGTTAAAAATGTATAGAGAAGTAGATTTTAATGGTATATGTTTAATAATTTACACAATTGAATGAAAGGAATTTTAAAATTAGAATTCTGAATGAATGTAACATAATTTTGAAATTTTATCTGAAATTTATCATTGGACTTACTGATACTTGTAATATTCATATGTTTGTTTGATAGGTTCAAGTTGTTCCAGTAGTAGACAGAATTTGACTTTATCTTTAAGTTCTGTCAAAGACAAAGGATCTCAATCTTGTAACTATGCAAATGGAGGACTTTTCAGTAAATACTCAGATTCTGCACAGAGTTTGGCCTCTGTAAGTAAAGAAAAAACTTTATTTTTTACATTTGTTTATATATCTATTGTTACCTATTGGTGTAAATGTTGTACAGTTATAGATAGTTATTAATAAGGAAACAACCTTAAGAAATCTGATTGAGGTGGTAACCTTACCATTTTGCTAAATATTCAGTCAGTTTGCTTCCAGGTTTTTTGAGTAAGTGATGAGGTCCTCTGAAAATGGTGGTGATATGGAAATGTTGCTTCAAAGCCAAATGTTCTGCAAAAAGCCGGAAGATGCATCCAGACTAAATACAGCCTAGGTCACAAAACTCACTTGATGAGCCTGCTTGGGTAAAAATGTTTGGCTTGTTGAAGCCAAGTATGGAGTTCCTCACCTGTCTTTGGAGAATTAATGGAGTATTGATTGATAAGTGAGGAATGAAGTTACTGTTTGTTTAAATCTAATATAGTTTAGTTTAAAAATTATTTTTTAAAAATAGGTAGGTTATGCACTTGCTAGTAAATAAAGAATCAAAAATATACGGTGAAAGATGTGTTCCTGATCCTTTCAATTCCCTTCCTTGAGACAAACACTGAGAGTTTCTTATGAATGTTCTTTCAGTGAATGCATGCCTCTACCATCATGTCTGTTCATTTAAAAAAAAATTGTTTATAGAACTCTGGCCCATGTGGCTCAGTTGTTGGAGCATCATCCTATAACTGAAGGGCTGTGAATTCAGTTCCTGGTCAGGGCACATACCTAGGTTGCAGGTCACATCCCCAAATCTGGACGCATAGGATGGTGCATGTAAGAGGCAACCAATTGATGCTTCTCCCTCACATTGTTCCTCTCTCTTCTTCTCTCTTTCTTAAGAAAAAAAAAAAAGAAAAAAAAAAGCAAGCAAAAATGTCCTCAGCTGAGGATTTAAAAAAAAACTTTTTAAAAAATAATTTATAGAACACCATATTTTGTTCTGTATTTTGTTGAAATATATAGCTGTCCCATTCTTAAATGCCTAAAAATCTGATAATTTTTTGAAGGCTGTTTTGTATCAGTACGAGCTAGATCAAAGGCTTGCAGACTTGTAGTTCCTCCGTGAAACTGAGCAGGATAATGAAGTAGATGACCATTCTATAATTTGGACTTTTATGTCAGAGTGCCTCTGTTTTAAGTTTTCTCAATGGAAAATTGAAGCTGTTCTTGACAAGGAGGTAGAGAAAATGAAGTTCATGATAATATTGTGAGTAAAAGTCTTCAGAGTCACTTTACTACACTTGCCTCCCCTGACAGAGCGAGTCCATTGCTAGGTCTGTGAACCCAGATTTGTGCCTCTCGATGAAGGCCTAAATGAGGGTCACGACAACAGCAGTGGAACGGAGGAGACAGGGTCTACAGAACTTGGGAACTGGATCTGAGAGGTGTGGGAAGAGAAATTAAAGGTCACTTCTTGTTTTCTAGTTTGAGAAATTATGGGGATTGAAGTACAAGTTATGGGGATTGAAGTATGTACTACTAGTGAACGTGAGAGGAGGAAAATTTTTTGTTGTACTTTTCTGATATAGTTTGAGATGCCAGCAGAAGAACCAGGTGTAGTCACCAAATGGCAGATGGAAATGTGCATTTAGATTTCTGAAGAGAGCGCAGAACTGACGATAAAGATTTGGGAGTTTTCTGCACAGAGGTGACCGAAATGATTGGCTCAGTGGACCTTGCTAGAGAAAGGAAAATGATAGAGGATTTTTTAATTAAGTTATCATTTAGTAGAGAATGAACATTGTAATAAATTCTAAAAGGAAAATAAGCTATTGTAAAAAATGATACAAACAGAGCCACTTTAAAATGGAGTCAGAGCTGCCATCCCAGAAAACTGTCCTGCAAGTCTTATTATACCACAAACCTTCAGCATGTTAAACCAGGGCAAAATAACCTTTGTACTAAAGGCCTAAAGAAGCATTGTACCCCCAAATAACTGTTTGCGAAGAAAACAAGAAATCAGATATTATGACTACCAGACTGCTGATTGCCAGATTGAATTATATAAAGTTAGCTTATCTGCACTGACAGAAATGCCTTCCTCGTTGTGTAATTGGTCCCTTGCCTTCCTTTCCTACTCAGAACACTACTGATACTCCTGCCTGAATCATTGCTGCCTGAGTTAGCTAATTTTATGGATCTCAAATAGATGCTTGTTGCCTGTCACTCCAACCTTTTAATTTTAGGTAAACACTAGTTACCTCATATCAAATTTGGTAGGTGTGGATAAAATTTATAAGTAAATACTTAATAAAAGAGTAAACTATAAAAAAGATTTTTGATGGAAATAACTGACTTACTTTTAAAATATTGTTCTACTTGTGTATTTTTGAGCAAATAAAGGCTTAGAATTTTTAGGGTCTTCAGGTGGAAATTACATGGGTTGTTTAACCAGGGATAGAATATATATAAGTAATTTATAAATATAAAAGGTCACAAAATACTATTAAAAAAGAGATTTTTGAAGTAACTTTTGTCCATCTTAATTTTAGGTCCAGAGTGTCAATTCTTGTCATAGCTGTGCTTGTGGCAATTCTAATTCCTGGGACAAAGCAGAGGAAGATGATCTTAAACTTGTTAATATTCCTGTGACTACTCCTGAGAATTTGTACTTGATGGGTAAGAATAACATAATAAAGTTTTAAGATATTATACTCACATTTAATGTAAAAACCAAAGAGCTATGAACTGTTCTAAAGGAAACAACTGTAATTAAAAAAATGTTCTTATATCTGTTGAATCTTGTTTATATAACCCAACCTATTATATTAGTTTCCTCAGAGTGCTGTGACAAATTAACACTTGGTATGTTGAAACAGAAAGTTGCTCTCTCAGAGTTCTGCAGGCGAGAAGTCTGAAACCTTTTATCCCTGGATTAACATCGTGATCTTATTAGGGCCATACTCCTTCTGCAGGAGAGTATGGTTTTTGCCTCTTCCAGCGTCTAGTGGCTTCTGGCTTGTAGCCTCCTGATTGCAGTTTCTGCCTTTGTCTTCATTTCACCTTCTCTGTATATCAGGTCTCCCTCTGCCTTACTCTCATAAACTGTGACTTAATTTAGGGCCCACCAGGTAATCTAGGATAATCTCCCCATGTTAAGAACCTTAATTTCATCACATCTGCACAGACCCCTTTTCCTTATAAGATAATATGTACAAGTTTCAGAGACTAAGACCTGATACCTTTGGGTGAACATTGTTCAGTCTATTATACTCACTTAACCTAATCTCTTGACTCTTATCTAATGAATCTACCAGAACCCACTAGCTATCATTTGTATTCTTATATCCAGAGAAAATTTTAAATAGAAAGAAGGCCTTTGTTTTACATCTCAGTATTCCTCTCGCCTTGACCATGAGCATGTCTAGAAAGTCTCACAGGAGCTCAGAAAGAAAACCAGAGAACGTAACACTGAGTCAGATCAAATACTTTTTCAAATGGGTATCACTGTTCTTCTCTACTCTATTTCAGGCTATATTCCTTTTAATGGAAATGCATACTAATTTAAAAACCAAAGCAAAAAACTTCAAGTAGGCTTGGCCAATGAGAAGTGAAGGGGATGATGACTTGCAGAAGGACTATGTGTCTCTGAATGCATTCCCACAGTCTAGAATAGTTGAAGACTAATCATCTCCACTAGTATCACAGTAGGTACTCCCGCCTCTGGGAAAAGGTGTAAGAGTAGTTGTTTTGCAAACTTTTCCAAAGGTCTTCAGAGAAATAAGTCCATGTGCTTCAGGATAACTCTGTGTCTAGTAAACCTACCTCACAGGTTATTGGAATATTGATGAGGAATAGAGCAAAACTAGAGAAGCTGCTGGGAGTGAGTACCATAGAATCAGGATTGGTAAGAGCTCTATAGGTCACCTGGTCACCCACCTATTGTTTCAATTCCCTTTACAAGACTGATGACATAAAAAAAGGCTGATGACATACTGGGTTGGCCAAAAACTCCATTTAGATTTTTCCAGGAAATAAAAGACACATTTTTCATTGTCACCAATAACTTTGTTGATTTTGGATTTTTGAGTATGTCTGCTATCTTCCACGTGTTATAATATTGAATATTCTCAATTAGTGTCTCTATTTGATTGCTATCAACTTCAGCTGGTCTACCCAACAATAGAGCATTATCCAGCGAGAAATCTCCAGCATGAAACTTCGCAAACCGCCTTTTACATGTTTGATCAGTCACAGCACCTTCTCCATCCTTTTTTGTTTATATATACATATAAACAAAATCCTTTTTTGTTTTTTGCATTTCAGTTGTGTTTTTACCTTTCTTGAAATAATAAACCATAATATGCCAAAATATTATGTATTTTCTTCCATTTTCAATATTAAAATAGCTACACAAAAATTCACCAATTTTGGTAAATTTTTTTAAAATGAATGCTGATATGACAGCTGTCACAATACAATCTAACAAAATTGTTTCAAATGAAGTTAAAGACAATTAAGTGCTACTAGAGCCATCTTACAGAAAAAAAACAAATGAACTTTTTGGCCAACCCAAAATATGTTTGAATTCTGTTACAAAACTGAGGATTATGTGCTAGTTTGGGCCATGTTCCTCAGTGAGGTAAGACCCAGTTCTTCCTGAGAGACAACTCTGCTGTTAGGTATTTCTTCCTTAATGTTTATCCAAAATAATCAGATGGAGAGAGAGTGGAAGGAGTGAGGAAGGGCTGAAGGAATTAGAATAGAATAATTTGGAGAAATGAGAGTAGAGAGTGATACACAGTAATTGTCTTTTAAGTGCTTAAATTTCTTCGAAGGAAGATCTAGGTAGTGATTCTTTGCTCCAAAAAATAAAAGAAGAAGGAAAGATCTAAATTGCATTTTAAGAACATTTTATTTTCTTAGAGTTGTAGGTTCTCCAGTAATTGAAGAAATGGTTTTAGAGGCAAGGTATTCTTTAACTATCATATCTTAAAAACATCTTGAGAATGACTTGCCTGGATTCTTAAGTAGCTTTTAAAGATCTTTTTCTTTTACATGTCTAGAAAAATTAAAGTCTTGAAATATTTTTGTTTTGGTAAGCCTTTTTATTTCATTTTAATTTGAAGGAAAAGAGGCACATATTCACCTACTTTCCCACATTGTCGGGGATATGAAATTCCTACTTGAACTGTCCTTTATGGGTTCTTCCTATAATCTTTGAGATTTTTAACTCTGGCCCAGCAATTTATCCATCTAGATCAGCAAGTTGGTATCTTACTTGTTTAAGACACCTGTTAGTGGTGGGAGGGGGGAGATAAAAGAGACTGTATTTTAGTCTTCTATGCTATTTTATTTCCTCTTACCTTTATTCTTTCCTTCTGAGAACTTTTGTAAAGCTCATAGCTTTTTATCAACTAGTTTATTTTATTTACCTATCAGTTTTCTTTTTAACTTAGGGTGTTATTTTGAAAGATAGTTGTGTGACTATAAAAAATAGCTGCTATTGTTGCACTTTTGATGAATACATGATATTATATTAGAAAAGTTCCAAACATCATATACATTTGAGTTACATTTTTTTTAAAATAAATGAAACATTAGTTATTTCTCTCTGATTTTTGGTTGACTGGAACTATAGGCCTGGAATACATTGGGAAATTAAGGTTCTACTATGAAATGATATGAACATAAAATTATTCTTCAGTACCAAAATTATAGTCACACTGTGTTTACCATTGAGGATAACTGTATGAAAAACATGTCAGATCCCAAATGATTTTATTTTGGTACTGGTTTTGCTTATTTACAATTGTTCTGTTCTTAATTTTAGGTATGGAATTATTTGAAGAGGCATTGCGTCGATGGGAACAAGCTCTAACCTTTCGAAATAGACAAGCTGAAGATGAAGCCTGTAGTTCCATTAAATTGGGTGCAGGAGATGCCATTGCTGAAGAAAGTGTAGATGTAAGGATGATTGATTTTTTTTGAGAGTGGTATTCATAGTTGGAGGAATCAAACTATTTTTAATGCTGATTCCATGCACTTGCTTTCTGTGGCATTTAATAGAGCTGTTTATTTTCTCCCCTGGGATTATTTGGAACTGTTTCTTTAGGGGGCTCTTTCTGTTCAGTTTTCTGATTTTCTAAGTATGTATTGAATTAAGCAGATAGGATTTTTGAAGGAATTTTTTAAAAGTGTTTTGTGCTTTGGGTTTAATTAAGTTCCATTATATTCATAAAAATCACGTAGAGTTAGAACTGGATTGGTACTTACTGATCATCTAAACTAGTGACTCTCAAATTTGGGCATGCATCAGAATCGTCTCAAAGGTTTGTGAAAACACAGATTTGAGGACCCCATCCCCAGGATTTTAAGTCAGTGGGGCTGAGGTAGGTCGTGAGAATTGGCATTTCTAACAAGTTCCCAGATAATATTGATGCTTCTGGTCCAGGGACCTTACTTTAAGAATCCCTGATATAGTCCAACTCAGTTTCTCAGATAAAGACACTGACTCCTGGGGACTGAGATAATTTAGCCAAAGTCACTGCTAGAACCCAGGCCTTCTGACTTCTGTCACAGTACTCTCGGCACCCAATAGTGGTATTTTTAAATCTCTCACTTTCTCTGCCTTTTATTTAAAAGTGAAAAATTGTTTTGAAGTTTAACATTAGAATATAATATTTGTTGTGTGTACTTTTTCTTTCTTTGTAGGATATTATTAGTACTGAATTTATCCATAAACTTGAAGCTCTGCTGCAAAGAGCATATCGTCTCCAAGAGGAGTTTGAAGCCACCCTGGGAGCATCTGATCCTAATTCTCTTGCTAATGATATTGGTAAGATGGTATTTTATGTGGTTTTTATTAAATGTGTGCTTTAAAAAATATTCTTGTAATCAGCACTGGCTGGCGTGGCTCAGTGGATTGAGTGCTGGCCTGCAAACCAAAGGATCACTGATTGGCTTCCCAGTCAGGGCACATGCCTGGGTTGCAGACCAGGTCCCCAGTAGGGGGCACTCAAGAGGCAACCACACATTGACGTTTCTCTCCCTCTCTTTCTCCCTCCCTTCCCCTCTCTCTCAAAAAATGAAAAAAAAAAAAAAATTTTCTTGTGATCAGTTGTTTCAGTATATTAATATGGTTATATATTTTTTATGAAATAGCAAAGAGCAAAGTTCCACCATAGTCATTGTTTTTTTTCTTTCAGTTTTATTTTTCAAGTGAACTTAATGCTTTAAGATATAAATTCAAGGGCTTATAGTAGGTAGGGTTGTGACATTATTTTAGAACTACATTCTAAGTGAATGAATTTCACTTAAAGTGCTAGTGGGTGGAAAAAAATAAAAAATAATATAAAAATGGGATATAGATACATCACCTCAGAAATGTACGTGTAATTTATGACATACATTTAAAATATTTTTAAATGATTATATTTCTTGGGCCTCATTTTAATTACAGGCTAGATTTTTTATTTTATTTTATTTTTTTAAGAGGAAGGGGAAGGGGTGGAGAAAAGCATCGGTGTGAGATTGATGTGAGAGAGAAACATCAATCAGTAGCCTCTTACATGTGCCCCTACCTGGGGCCCAACCTGCAACCCTGGCATGTCGCCGACTGAGAATAGAACCTGCGACCTTTTTTTGGTTTATGGGATGAAGCTCCAACCAACTGAGCCACACCAGTCAGGACGCAGACTAGATTTTGATGTAAGCAGTCAATGCATACATTATCATATACCAATGCCTTTGTTTCCTATTTTTAAAGAGAAAAGAACTTTGAAAAGACTTCTTAAGTGAGGTCTTCCATGGAAAGAATGATTAAAATCACTTTCTCAACTTCTGTAAATGCTACAAAGAATAAAATAAGACAAAATTATATCTTTTTTGTTTAAAATAATTTGAGTTTTTTTAATGAAGAGAATTGTTGTTTTCTAGTAAAAAAAATGAGTGGTAAGTTTTTCCACATTTATTTCTAAACATAAAGTACTGAAAGTAGCTGCATTTTCAGTTGTTTATATGTCTATGCATTTTGAATTTAAGTAAAAAATTTCACTTGTACAGGCATAAGGAAGGTATGGAAAATAGGCATAGAGCTTTCATGCCCTCTCCAGACATACCGCCTTCCCAGCACTTGGATGTGTTCACCAACCTGGAAGCTTCTCTGACCCTGTAGTTTATTATTTTTAGGAAAGCTTCACTAAATAGGCGCAATTGATTAAATCACTGGCCATGGTGATTAATCTCCAGCCCCATTCCCCACTCTGGAGTCAGGGGCGGAGCTTAAAGTCCCAATCTTCCAATCCCCTTGGCAACTGTTTCCCACCCTCCAAGAGTCACCTGATTAACATAAAGTCAGATATTTTTGAAAGGGGCTTATTATAAATAATAAAAGGTGGTCCTGTCACCCACATCACTCAGGAAATTCCAAGGGTTTTAGGAACACTGTGTCAGGAAGCTGATAAATATGTATTACTTACTATATTATAATATCACATCTTAAAGTGGATGGAGCCAGTCAGGGCTGCAGCATGACACTTTTGAGTTATCTTAGGTCACCAAGGATGATTATTTTAAAAATTTTTCTAAAAAGATTTTGAATTACAGTTGACAACAATATTATGTTAGTTTTACCAAGAGTTATGAAAACACTTTGTTGTTCAACCATCTATAAATTAAATTGACTTTACTTTCACATTTTTTATCTTGACTATGAAGGTGTCATGGGATACTTTATTATATATTATACTAAAAATATATGTGTATTTATCTCCTTAAGCAGTAACTTAGGAAAATGTAAAACTTTTTTTTCAAAGAGGTTACATTCTTATTTGGAAATACTGCCAATGCTGAGCTTTATTGCAGGTAGGTATTTTCCCCAAGTATTCATTGCTGGTTTTACACTGTTGCAAATCATCTTAGTTTTGGAAGATGCAAGTGTCAGGTTTTATTGACAATAGTAACTATTTCTAACTTATTCAAAACTTATTTCACCAATTTGGAATTCAAAATATAAACTGTACTTAATTTTACATTTTGTGTTTTCTATATTAGAGTAGTTTGCCAAGTTAATGTTGTAGATAAGATTATAGGAGGACAGTTTAAATCCTCTTAAGCATGATTATTTTAGTATACTTAAAATAGTCTTAGCATTTCTTTAGATAACAATGTGTTTATTGGTCAGTCATACCTATATTCTTTTTAAAAAATAGCAGCACCAAAAAACTTTTGAGTTGTTAGTTATAATGAGTTATTTGGTTACTTTGATAGGTAAAGTTAACAGTTTGAAAAATCATATAATATGATTCGAACACCGACTTATGGTGACGGTGGCACAACTCTATACGTTTAGTAAACTTCATTGAATTTATGCTTATAACGGGAATATTATGGTATGTAATTATAATTTAATAAAACTGTTAAAACAAAACAAATAAAAAGGTAATGTTTTCTACCAGAAAGAAAAAGGCTGTTAAAAATAGAGTATGTTTCTGTTGAGCTAATTTTAAGTAAGTGAATTTTTGTGAATTTGAAATGGTGCAAAAGAGCACTTTATGCTAAAAATTTTAAATAATGCAAGTACCCCAAATTTTAAAAAAATGTCATAAGGAATCATTTAGTTTCAGAATTCATAGACCTGGTGAATTATAAATCCTTACTACTCTAGGTGGTACCACTTTAGCTGCTAACCAGAAATACTGAGCATCATTTGTCAGTATCCTGTGAACTGTACTATTGTTTACTTGCATGGGAACTTCCACATGTGGTTTTGGTGATTATTTTGCTGTTATTTTTAGTTTTATTGTTAAATTTAGAATCTTCTGGCATCCCAACTCTAAAATTGAAACCACTCTAATGCACCCCTAAGCCAAGTTATCATGTGTGTTAAAATAGGAAATATTTTTGATATTTGGGAAGTAAATCATAGTGGCACAAAACATCTTACTACAAATACTTTATGTTTTTAAAGCATTCTTAAAAACAGATTTTATTATAGTCATTTATTTTGTTTTAAAACTATCCTTGAAAAAGAAATACAGTACAATATTTGTGATGTTCTTCAACCTCTCTTTACATTTATTCTTATAGGAAAAAAGCTTTGAAAAAGGCAGGGTTTGAATTGCGGTTTAAGGCATAACTCCATTGCATAAAATGTAACCACTCTGTCTAATTCGTCTTTTGCCATTTTCTATACTGGTATTTCCTTAACCATTCTAATTAGTGAATAATCATTATTGGGTATGTTTCTGTATTTGGTCTTACATGCCAAAAGTTTGTTCCTTAATAACTTAAATAATAGTTATTTACTGTTTTTATCTTATCATAAAGAAGTGAGGATCTGAATTAGTTCTCTAATAATAATTTTTTTTTTCTTATGAGACTGTTCAGTGTTAAATGGGAGGTGTTGAAATCACTAGAGGGCAGCACATTTTATCTATAATACTCATTAGATGCCTATGACTCATAAATGCCATTCTGTGCTGCTCCAAGCATTGGAAGTTACCGTATTTGCCATGTATAATGCACACTTTTTTGCCCAAATTTTTGAGGGGGGAGGAAAGGATGCGCATTATACATGGGTATAAATGATTACATACCATGGGTATAATAATCCCACATATGATGTGCACAAAAACATGGGTGCACATTATAAATGGAAGCTCGTTATACATGACAAAATATGGTAAATTTAGGTCACCACTCTTTTTCTGGCATGATTTGTATACACCTGCTACTGTAACTCAGAGTGAGACAGAGCGTGGAAGTTTTGCACAGAGACTTGACTTACCATCGGTGTAGATTTCCATTAGTGTGCAAGTTCTTCTAGCTAACAGCATCTAGAAGTGTTATGCTTATTTGTAGTTTCTGTTTTTAAAGGAAGTGTTAAATTGCAATTGTTAATATATAATTTCGTTATTGTAATTTTTGAAGTCTCAACCAAAAAACTTTGATGCGATTTCAGTTATAGACAGTATGTTTAGTAGTTAAGAATGTAGGCTTTAAAATAAAAAAAAAAAACATGAGTTCGAATCCTGGCTCTACCAATCTTACTACCTATGAAACCTAAGTAAGCCTTGACCTTTCTTAGACTTAGCTTCCTTAGCTCTAAGGTGCAGGTCTATATTAGGATCAACTTTATAGAATTATGAAGATTAAATGAAATAACATGTATCATCTTTTAGAACGGGCACATGGTAAACACTTGTTCTCTATTTATATTGTAGTTATATTCTAGAATTTTTATGAGGCCTGCTCTAAGATTATTTTTAAATTGCATGGTTATAGGTAGATGAATGTCACATGTTCATAATTTGTTTTACAGTGATATTATCATGTCCTCTAGACAACGTTCATTTCTGTGAATTTTTCAAATTTTTCTCATAGTAGTAACATAAATTTGCATTTCATGAAACAAGGTGTTTAAGCCATGTGTAAAGTTATTTATTCAAGAAAAAAATAGGATGCTTTTATAAATCCACTTTTTCTGTGTTAGAAAAGAAAACTCATCTGAAGGACAGATACTTTGCAAAAGTATTCTAGATGTAGCTAAGATTATTGGCTTTCCTATCCCTCACCTTGTCATATGGACAAGAGGAAAACAAAAAATGATAATGGGTATACACCTTCTTGCCAGCACATCAAGTTATTTAGCAAATTCTGTTGATTCCAGCTTCACAATGTAGTTCTCATTCATCCTCTTTCCTCTGCAACCTAATTATGTTTTTCTTGGATTTAATGATCTCCCAACTGGGTTCCTGCCTCCATTCTCTCTCCGCACGGGTGAGTTCCCTTCTTAGTACAGAGCTCTCATCTTATCACTGTCAGGTTCTCAGACCA